TCGCACCTGCACACCACTTATGTGCACCCCTGCTTATGCACATATAGAGTTAGTAACATAGTTACGGTTAAGCAGCTTACAGTATAAACAACTTAGACTTACATCTTACAGTATAATCGGAAAACAGATTTATCCTAAAGTCTGATGATGTGAAGACTCCTCATTATCAACATAACTGCACACCTTACACTTACGATTTCAGGATGACTAACTATATTTTCATTTTAGTTTGTCTACATAAATTTGTTCTTGGGGCACTTCTTAGAAATGTTTCCCATTAACAATGTTCGAATTTTCACCCTTCCAACCACAATAACCCACAGTTTAGCCAACCATAATCATGCTATTTTAATTTGCATACTGAACTGAATTAGTCATCTTTTTTACATTCATTGTTTTTTATTGTTTTATAAAAGAATTTATTTGGGGGTGGGGGGGGGAGCAATCTACTTGGTTTGAAGGTGACTTCATGCATTGTTACACTATTGACAATAGACCTTTTTTTGCCTGTGAAATTTCTCTAATGTAAATGCACCATTACCAAGCAAGAGCTAGAATCTCTAGTTTTTTGGGGTAGACTTTTTCTGACTTTTAACCAGTAATGAAACCAGTAAAAAAAAAACAAAAAAAAAACAGTAACCTAAAATTACCCAGAACACCCTAGCAACCCACTGATATACCACGCTGCAGCATATTATCTTTATCGATAAAAATGAACAAGACATGGTCCATAAAATAGATCTAAATCATAAAGCTTTCAGTGTGAAGCTCAAAGGAAGCACAACAAATATGAAAAATAAATTCCAGATGGATGTTATGGAAATCCCACAAACACATTGTTAGAGTATAATGGAGTTAGAATGATCAGTTAACAGCAGTAGCGGTTAGTATTTATCACCACTGTTATAAAACCATTTTCTACAATGCAGATATTCTGCCAAGCCATTTACTGCAGTCTCTAAAATTAAACATTCTTATCTCAACGTTCAAATTAAAAACTCCAGTAGATCTCCAACCCCTCCTCCATCAGAAACCTCCAGAGGACCAATCCTAGAACAGAGACATCTCCTCACTACTTCTGAGCTCTGCTGCCATCTCATTGAGTTAAAAACATCCCCTTATCTGGGAGCTGGGAGAACTCCATGTGTCTGCTCAGACCAGAGAGGGGCTGGGCACAACGTGTCCGGTTTGACACGTCTGAGGCAGGCTGCAGCACTCATCTGACAGGGCTGGATGCAGCAGACGCTGCACAGCTAATTAGAGAAGTGTTTATGAGAACAGCGAGGAGACACTCTCACTCTGGGAGATGGAACGCAGGGTCAGTTCTGACACACTCCATCAGTGCGGCACTGCTTGGACTCGGAGGTACATGGAGAAAATGAGGAAGAGAGAGAGAGAGAGAGAGTGCAAGAAGAGAGCAAATTTTGTTCCTGGGCTTGTTGCAGAAGAAGCACTAGTGATGACAGACATCCTGTGTTTGTAAGACAGTGATGAGGCCAATTAGGAGCTTCAGCTGTTCAAGACTGGCTTCAAATTAAATATAGATGAATTAGGAGAACATGATTAAAGAAAATGACCGGTTGTATTCTGAAGACACAAACAAAAGGAATAATGAGATCAGTTTCAAGATCCAGTCATCTTATATACGATTCAATGAAAGACGCACATTTGGAAAAAGGAACGATTTTAAATGGTCGGCCAGTTTCTGTCATTGGTTTAACAGTTAGAGGTCAAGCCAATCTGCTGCAAAGCAAAAAAGGAGCTGGATTAAGGAAACTAATTTTCCAGAATTTGTATTGTAGATTTTTTTTTTTTTTTTTTGCCACAGTCTCAGTGTTTTAACTTTTTCAGGGAAATCTATTATTAATGTAGAGTTGTCTCTGCATATTAAAGTGGGATATGTTTCACCTTTAAGAAATATTTAGATTATTGGTATTTTACTTTACAAATACATTTTAGTCACTGCATTTTAATGAATTTATGCTTAATATCAATGTTTGGTTTAATTAAAATAAATAAAAGGGATAGTTCAATAAATAAATACATTTTATTCCCCCTCATGTCATTCCTAAACCCAAAAGAAGATATGTGGAAGAATGTTGGCAAACTGCTTTGGTAACCGTTGACTTCGATTGAACGGGGTGAGGGGGGATTTCCATCAAACTCAAAATATCTCCTCTTATGTTCCGCAGAAAACAGGAAGTCATACAGATTTGGAACAACATTATTTTAATTTCTTTAATTTATTAACATTAAAAATTAATGGGTTTTAGAAACCTGTAGGTTGTTATATATTTATATAGTTTTTTTTGTAATATTTAGACATAGTGAACGCAAGTCAAATTACAGCTTGCAGTGAGTATTCAGTTTACTTTATAGTACTTCACTAGTCATTCACAAAAAAAGATTTACAGTGCATGCTCTACCAGCTAACATTGACATGATGCATCAGAGGCCATCAGAGAGAGACGAACAATCACAATGCATGTCATCATGTTAAACACTTTCACAGCATCTGCCGTGAAAGGAAAAATGCTCCTGCAGTTGAATTTGAGCTTGTATGCAGTATTTAAAAATACTAAACACATTCATTCACAGTTATTTATTAAAGCCCATAACCAGGTTGCACTCAGTAGCTTCTATATACATATAAATACACACACACACATAATCAAAATATCTTTTCTTTTCTACTACTTAAAGGCACAATATGCAAGATTTTCTTATTAAAATATCTAAAAACCACTTTAACAGTGTTATATATTTTGCTAACTTGTGTACTTACATTGTCCCAAATGTTTCGAAGAATGTTTAAATCCAGAGAAATAAGCAATTTTAACTAGTGACACGGACCGTGTCTATAGTGTCATTGTGTCGCCTGCCAATGACGTCATAACCCCTCGATTTCCTCGAAAACATGGAAACACCAAAGACGCTTTAATATGTTGTGCGTTTTAATAGACCGGTGACGACCGCACAGAGTAGCATTATAACAGAACTTTCAAATGTATCTAGTATGATAAAACAGCTGCTTTTTCCCCCACATATGCACGACCGGAAGGAGTGGAAGATTCAGAAATATATTGATATGACTGCACTGACACCATCTGATGAGAACAAAGCTTGAAGTGAATTAAGCTGGATGATGGCACAGCTGCCTTTTATAGAGCTGCTTTACAACTGAAACGCATGTTGACTCGAGGTAAAAAATGAACGACAATGCGGCCATTTGTAAAACTGCTTATAACTGAATTGAACTTGTATCAAAATTGATCAAATTCAGACTGTTACATAGTGCTGCACAGTAATAGTTAAATGGTTAATTATTATAATTATTTTGCTAAAAAATATATAAAATATAAAACATTATTGCTCACAGACTCAGTCGCAGTAAACAGCACAAATGGGGAAAAAAAACACTTGGTTGAATTACACTTTTATTTGAGCAGAATATCTCAATAGAGATCAATCCAACTTACATGTTTGCTTGTGTGTTCAACTCATCAGCATTTTTTCCATAATGTAGAATGGAATTTAATGTAGAACACAACTTAATACAGTTGTCACTCCTGAAACTTTGCAGAGTGTACTTAGCATGAAAAATTAAACGTTTATTCCAATTGTGAATGGGTTATACACAGAAAGTGAGCAAATACAAACAAAAAAAATCAGTGTAATAAGTTAACTATGAATATACAATACATTATCCCTTAAATGTCAACCTTATAGTTTGAACATTCGTTCATCTTGGCTCAAAGCCACTTGCCGAGAACTTTTCTTCGTGGAAGCTTTGCGTTAAACAAGTGAGATAACGAAATATTTAATCTCTAATCAATATTTTTTGTCCAATTATTTGCCCAGTTAGTTTTGGTTTTGAGGTAAAAGTTACCTTGCATTCGCTATATATCAGTGGGTGGTGGTCACGAAGATGACTGAGCAAATTTGATGCGTTTCCCCCTTTTGCAGCTACTTTCTTCTTGCAAGATCGTCAGACAGGGTGACCGTCCTCGATTAAATTGCCTTCAGGACTCTTGTAAAAGTCAAAATGTGACCAGACCACCGATTTGGTCCTCTTAGATGGCTGAAAAATCTCCCGAGCGCTGTCACTCTCTTCCGCCATTTCCTCTCGTGCAAAAAACAACAACAACAACATTGCATGCTGCTTCTGCGTCAGACTGATGCTGGCTGGACAGGATTTACCATGAGTTTTCAAAATTGCGATAATCAAACACGGTTTTGATGATAATTACATTTTAAATGGTAATAATAACCATCAGGGCATTTTATCGTGATTTATCGTAAAACCGGTAATCGTTCCATCCCTACTGTGTTTATACTTTGTTGGTTATAGCAAAACTATTCTTGAGAGTGCAGAGCTCAAGCTGAACGAACACTGGCGATTCTGACTTACACGCCTCTGATTGGCCATTGCATTCACACACTCAACAAACATATCTGTGATTGGCTACAATGCTTAGCGCTGCAAAAACATCTTGTAAATTGAAACCTTTGACGCTCTTCCCAGGGGGGACTGTCAAAAGCAAAACAATCCGAAACATTAGGATTAACTACAGCTCGAGAAGGGGAGTTAATTAATTTCAAACGCACCTACTGTACTCTAGGCATGGATTGTACTTACATCAACAGTATTCCAAGCTGCACTCCGAGATTGCGGCACTTCCTTACCCAATTAGCCCAGCCGCTCTGCGCTTCATTGAAATTTAAATTCTATGCTAGACAATGTATGAATAAACACGCAGCGTTCTGGACTTCTATTTGTCAGGGGAATTAAGCAGAATAAATCCACAGCAGTTTATAATTGGTCCTGAGGTGATCCAGTAAGTTTTAGGCACTCAAAAGTTTGTTTTGTTTTTTCTTCCCCCTCTAATATTCAGAGTCAAATTGGAAATTTACATGCAAATGAATACAGGTCAAAGAAAATTAGCATTGTACTGTACAGTGGCACTTCAATCAATTTCTACAGGCCATTTTCCAATTGATTACTGCCTCAGATAAAGAGCAAAGAGTCGTTGTACAATGTTTTGTTCATTCTTGACATGCTGCATGGCCTGCATTGCTTCACGGGCTGCTGGCTACATCTAGGAGAAACATAGGTTTCAGCAAGTTTCTGAAAACTTTTGATACTTGGACATTTTTTTAAAGAATTGTATGGGTAAAGAACTGCTTGCAAAGATAATTCCTTGTTAAGACTGGACATAATTGTTGAGGTAGCTTGATTAAATGTAGCTAAAATACACTACCACTCAAAGGTTTGGGGATAGTAAGGTTATTATTATTATTATTTTTTTTTAACAAACACTTTCATTTAGCAAGGGCACTTCAAATTGATCAAAGGTGACAGTAAAGGCATTTATCATCTTACAAAAGATTTGTATTTCAAATAAATGCTGTTGTTTTGTACACTTTATTTATCAAAACATTATGCTGCACAACTGTTCTCAACTTTGATAACAATAAGAAATGTTTCTTAAAGACCAAATCAACATATTAGAATGATTTATGAAGGATCGTGCAAGACTGAAGACTTGAATAATGGCCACTGAATGAATGAATGAATAGTATTATATTAAATATATTAAAATAGTCATTTTAAATCTACAGTTTTTACTGTATTTTAATTAATTAAATGCCTTGGTGAGCATAAAAGACTTTTCAAAAACATTTAAAAAATATATATTTCTGACCCCAAACTTTTGAATGATAGTGTGGAACAATATTGACACAGAAATTACAGTTAACACTTTAGCTTTAAGCAATGAAATTTGTTCCACCTCCATTATAAGAAAATAAACAATATCACTATAGCTATATGTAAATACTACGTGATGAATTAAATTAAAAATCCATATTTCTCAATTAATTTGAAAACAATTGAAAAACTACAGACAACAGAGTAAAAAAAATAAATAAATTCCTAAACTCTTTTGCCAGTCTTTCTGCAGGCGTTACTAACAAAAGAAAGAATGCTGAGTGGCAGTGAGGCACAGCGGCTGTCAAACGCAGCTGCTTCAGAACACCGTATAGTTGCTGAGATGAACAAAAATGGTCCGATTTCAAAGTTGTTGACCGATGAAGTGCTGCCAGTACTAAGAACGATACAGGCTGTCAATAATGCAACACAGAGAGAGAGATGGCACAGGATGTACAAAGTGTGTGTGCCAAACTGAAAGAAATCAAAAACGTATTGGCAGAACTTGTTAAAAAAAAAAAAATGCATATACAAATAAAAATGCTGCACTAGATGCAGCACTTCCTTCACATTGGACATTGAAATGCTAAACTCCTGGTGCACTGGCATCCCTGTTGGGAGAGTTAATGTCAAACATAAGGAAATTATCAGAATTGGACTCAGTAATGTACTGAATAGAACTGTAATGCCTAACGAGTTCAAACACTATCATAAAGTCTAATACATACTGGGCCAATCTATCGTAAGTCACATGCAGCAAAGGAGACTGGGGGCAATTGTAACACTCTAAATTTCATGCTTATATTATTTAATTTTTTATACTATTACTATACTGTCATATATAATGCACACATGCATTCTATCTCAAGTTTGTTGGTTAAAAGCTACAAAATATGGCTCATAGATGCCAACAGTGTTGCTAGTAACTACTATACAGGAAGCACAAAACACCACACTCTCAGGGCAATTGCACGGATGCTCCCCTGTTCCAAACTTAACTCAAACTTAATCTCACCTAAGATTTCACATGCTATAAATCGCTGTGTTCCATTGAATTGTTCTGTACGCAACACAGCACACTTGTCCTTACAGCACCTGTTTCCCTACTGATATTCTTCTCAACTATGTTTAACACTCTCATTAAAAGTGAAAGCAAAGGGAGTGAATGTTTTTTGAACGCAAAAAAATAAGAACATGAGAGAAAATAAACACATCAATCATTAAGGTGCATGTTTCTTTCACACCACCACTGTATTAATATTTAAATATATAAAAACATGTTTGTATATTTCTGATAACTATGAAATATGCAGCCACGTCAAATCCCAAAACCTCATCCTAAACATTGCCAAGACTGATAAACTATAGAATTATTTATTAAGACTGTACACACTTAGTTTACATGAAAACTTTAGAAAACCTGCTATAAACATTTTGGGGAATGTTTGGTCTGGACACCGGCATCCTGATTACAGATATAAATATACTTGTACATGTATAGTTCATTTGAAAATGTTTATATACTGTAGATGTTTACTTCTAAAAAGGTTTTTTTTTTTTTTTTGCAACTATGTTTGGAAAATCTAAATCCACCATGAAAAATAGACATGATTTTATTAAACATCCCATTTGGAATGGATTTGTAAATAAATAATCCACTAAGAAGTTACTTGTCCATAATTTAGGCAAATGACAAAATGAAGTTTTTTTTTTTTTGCATGTGTTTTTATATGCTGTACATACCCGGTCCTGTACCAGTCTGTGGGAATGTGCTCCTGATGCCAACATGGCAGCGAACATAGTGAGCATGTGTTGCTGGACACGGCTGATGCCTGACACCAGACAACTGAGGATGCTGGGTAATCCCACCTTGTCAATCACACTCTGGAAGGCCCCCGCAGATTGGCGTGTTATTTTACACAGAGCCTGGAAGGGCAGATAAAGGTAAGACAGGTGGGCTGAATACAGAATTTTCAATACTGCTGCTTTTTGTTACATAATATTTATTTATTTAGAGGAACATAAATATGTCATCAAAAGGTTATACATTTTTGATACCGCTGTAGAGATGAGGTTAAAAAAGGAAACTACTAACCAGTATCATGAAATATACATTTAAAAAACACATGCCCAAAAGTTGATCATTCTTGTACAAAGCTATTGTAAAACACAAAACAAGTTTCATGAATATAGCCGCAAGTGACAATCAACGGGTGTGATAATGAATAATGCATTTGGACAATTAGATGACACAACTACCATGTATGTTTCCAATTTTTATGTGAGTTTACTACAATGTCAACCATTTTGAATCTCCACTGATACTGTATGTTAGTGTTCTTTACAGCTTACAAAAATAAATGCTAATTCCAAAAGAGACAACACGCTTCATAAAGGAAATCAGAAAATATGATTTCACAATGATGTAAAAAGTTCGGACTTTTGTTTGAAAGTTAGGATTTCTTATCCTATCCTAAGATGGCTAAGATAAACATTACAACTGCAGCTTTCATCTGTCATTCACAATAACAAATAAGTGGCTGAACATAGAATTTGCTGTTAGTCCCCCTCGCAACAAGAAATCATGAAATGAAATCCATGCTTTCTGGGTCGTTATAGTTATAGGCCAATAAGTCACTATGGTCCAAACCCAACAATATTTTGGCCCATATTTGCTTAAAAAAAAAAAAGATTCAAAATTGTTTTGATAACTTATGACAGGTTTTTAATTGCAGTGCCCCAACTGAGCAAAACCGCACAAATTCACCTCAGAATGTCCTGGAGGGCAACTGGTCAAATTGGCCAACCCCCTCTCCAAAATTTAATTGACTTTATATATTATTGACTTATAGCCACTTAGACAAAACTTAAATGGAACAGAATTTCAATTCTTGACTGTACAGTTGTGAAGACATGAAGGAAATAATTTATGGTCTTATTATAGCACCACCTAGGGTCAGACCAGGGCCTGACAATAAGAACTGCCCTAAAATACACCCAGGACAGTTGATGCAATTGTCACTGGCTCATTGTAACAAAAAAAAAAAAACAGAGATGATGAAAAGGTACATATTGGACCATTGCAGTTACACTTAATAACACTATCTTGAGCAACTATAGACCAATATCAAATCTTCGTTTTTTTATGCAATATTATTGAAAAGGTAGTTTTTAAACAGCTGAACAACTACTTAAACTCAAATGGATACCTAGACTATTTTCAATCTGGTTTCCAACCACATCACAGCACAGAGACAGTGCTCCTAAAGATAATAAATGATATTTGCTTAAATTCAGATTCTGGCAAAAAATATCAGTGCTGGTACTACTAGATCTCAGTGCTGCGTTTGACACTGTCGACATTAACATACTTCTAGAGAGACTGGAAAACTGAGTTGGACTTTCTGGGATGGTCCTCAAATGGTTGAGGTCATACTTAGAAGGGATAGGTTATTATGCGAGTATAGGAGATCATAAGTCTAAGTGGACGTCCATGACATGCGGAGTCCCACAAGGCTCAATTCTTGCGCCCCTCTTGTTCAGCCTTTATATGCTTCAACTGAGTCAAATAATGAGAAAGAACCAAACTGATGATACCCAGGTTTACGTAGCCTTATCGCCAAATGACTACAGCCCCATTGACTCCCTCTGCCAATGCATTGATGAAATTAACAGTTGGATGTGCCAAAACTTTCTTCAGTTAAACAAAGAGAAAACTGAAGTCATTGCATTTGGAAACAAAGATGAAGTTCTCAAGGTGAACGCATTCCCTTGACTCTAGGGGTCAAACAACTAAAAATCAAGTCAGGAATCTGGGTGTGATTCTGGAGTCAAGCCTTAGTTTCAGTAGTCATGTCAAAGCAATAACTAAATCAGCATAGTATCATCTCAAAAACATTGCAAGAATTAAATGTTTTGTTTCCAGTGAAGACTTGGAGAAACTTGTTTATGCCTTTATCACCAGCAGGGTGGACTATTGTAGTGGACTCCTCACTGGCCTTCCCAAAAAGACCATTAGACAGCTGCAGCTCATACGGAACACTGCTGGCAGGATTCTGACTAGAACTAGAAAATCTGAGCATATCACACCAGTCCTCAGGGGCCGGTTGCACCAGCTGGACGTACACTCGGTTGTAAGACTAGGCTGGACGTAAAATGCGCTTTAAGTTGTGCGTAGAATTTACACCCGTTGCACCATCTCGGCGTAGTGCTACGTATCTTACGCCTAGTCAGAGGTATGTGTAAAGTGAAAAGTCATGATTTGCTCGGACATTATTAGTTTTTAGGATTCATGCGTGTTAGTTAATTATTACTGCAGACGTGAACTGCAATGTTTATGGTCTTTTCGGGCAGGTTAAGCGATATCAATCACGAAGCTCAGTGTAGAGACTATACCACACTGCCGACAGTAATTGACCTAATAAAAAACGATCTTTCTGTACAGCATGTAATTATGCAGTAAAATATTACATATAATTTGGGATTATAAAAAAAACTGTACCATTCGACATCTTGCTTGGAAGGACGGTATAAGTGCTTGGAAATATTTCACGTCTTTAATTCCATTCATTATTTGTAGCGTGCCTGCCATCCAATAATCACAGTAAGTTTTGTGTTTTGTTACTTTTAATTAGAAATAAAGTATCAGCTTTCAAATTCTGTCAGTTTTATCACAAAATACAAACTATAAATGAGGTTTTTCAGCCACAGAAATACGTCAGTAAAACAATGTCACGTAAAGTCACATTTACCTCAGGAAAGACATTCATTGTACATAAACTCAATAGTCAGCTAGAAAAAAATAACTCTAGAGAGAAGCATTGTATTACATTCATTATATTTTACTTAACCTGCTGCCTTCATTTTTAATGTTCGTTTGAAGAAATCTGTCATAGGAATGTGCAGGGAGATTTCAGATATAAAAAACTGCGGACTTGTTAGAAAATGTTTACTCAAAATCATGGCGCGGTGACTTCACTTGTTATGGATGTCTTGAGCAATTCAGTTTTATATTAGTAGCTGTAGCCATTGCAGTGTGAATGTCTCAGCCATCACTGCGGGAGAATGTGTCAGAGTGGACACGCATTGTCTACGCCGGGCATAGTTGCGCCTGATCGTAGTTTTAGCTGGTGCAACAGATGTAAATATTTATCGTAAAGCTGGACGTTGCAAAGCCCAGCGTAGGGCTTACACCCAGCTTTTTTACGTCTAGCTGGTGCAACCAGCCCCAGGTCTTTACAATGGTTTCCAGTTACATTTAGGATTGATTTTAAAGTATTATTGCTCCTTTATAAATCACTCAATGGTCTAGGACCTCAATACATTGCAGATATGCTCACTGAATATAAGCCTAATCGACCACTCAGATCATTAGGATCATATCAGTTAGAAATACCAAGGGTTCACTCAAAATAAAGTAGGGGTGCTCCGATTGATCGGCTACCGATCGCTATTGGCCGATAATGGCTTGGGGAAGTTATAATACTCTATAAAGGCCGATCTCAAGCTGATGACACACCTGCTGTGAGAGGTTTGGCATGACATGCAGTGGCACAGTCTCGATCTCTGTCCGTAAAATAATTATAATGCTGATGGTGAGGTACAATTCATATTTCTTCAGTAAATAACTTTATGCGAGGCGTTATTTCACAAACCTGTGCACAGTTCACACAGGAATTGCTATTTGCACAATCGAGACAGTGTTGCATCGTCACTAAAGTCGTTTAAACACGTCTATGAAAGATTGTATTACTGTACTGCGTAAAAACAGAATCACAATGCTCAAAAAGCATTTTCAGTAACAACGTTTGGATTTGAAATCAAAATGGATTAATGTTGTGTTTGTGGCAAACAGCCGCAGATCAGTAGCGGACCTCTGTGTGTAAGCACAATGAGTCACCTAAGAGGGGAATTCCTCCCATTTTCAAAAATGAAATTCAGGCCCTGAATGAATGTCTGTAAAAATCCTAACTGGAGCATCACTATGTCCAAACTAAATGTACTGTATTTTATGTACCATCATTTTCTATTCTTAACTGTTAAACTTTTAAACTGTTCTTAACTTCTTAAATTTTTATTTTTATTGTTGTTGTGATTATTTTTATGCTTATTTTAATTAATTTCATGTAAATCACTTTGAATTACCACTGTGTATGAAATGTGCTATATAAATAAACTTGCTTTGCCTTGCACCAGAGATAGGCACTCGAGTTAGTGACTCGGACTCGAGTCGCATTATTATAGACTACAGACTTGACTCAGACTCGACCTGAAATGACTCCAGACTTGACTCGACTCGAGGAAAATGACTCGTGAACATTTTAAAAGCAACTCGAGTCTTTTATCCTTAAATACTTATATAACTGATATTCAAAAGGCGGACAGCATCTGTACCCCAGCATCCATCTGGACCGCGAGCCATAACACAGCACCATTTTAAGTGAGCAGCGCGTCAAATCAGCGCAGCGGATCACATAACAAGCACTCAGTATCTTTCAGTGCTATATCCTCTAGTATTTTTATCAAAGGCCAAACGAGCTTTCTTCAAGCCATTTCAGCTCCGTGCTCTTTCTCTCGCTCTCCGGACGCGCACCGGCGCCAAGTTTAAGAGCTACGGATTACACGATTATTTTAACAACAACAGAAACAACAAAACACAGCAGAAAACAACAATGGTGAAAATAGTTATTTTTCATACTATCTATCTATAACCTATGACTCTAAGTGTTCAACCCAGATGCGACAAGACATTTATCTACATTTAGCATTATTAATCTGTAGGCTAAGAACATTTCAAAAGAATCGTGTAGGCTAATTATAATTGGGAAAATTGTTGTTAGATGGCTAGGATAGAACTTAAACTTTGAAATTGCTAGTTATCTTTCTTTTCTGCTCAAGATGAGAACGTTTTGATTATTGTAGCTACATGGTTTTAAAATAATGCTTTTAAGTAGGCTAAAATATTAAAATAGTATAGATTTCAGGAGGAAAACCCTGAACAGAAACATTGTTTTTTCTGTCACGTGGCCTTGCATGCATCTAAATGTAAAAATGCAATCCATGTAAAAAAAAATAAAAAAAATTTGGTCCTCTGCTTGGAAGAAAATATGCCGCGCCTTGTTCTTTTCTGCTCAAGATGAGAACGTTTTGATTATTGTAGCTACATGGTTTTAAAATAATGCTTTTAAGTAGGCTAAAATATTAAAATAGTATAGATTTCAGGAGGAAAACCCTGAACAGAAACATTGTTTTTTCTGTCACATGGCCTCGCATGTATCTAAATGTAAAAATGCAATCCATGTAAAAAAAAAAAAATCGGACCTCTGCATGGAAGAAAATATGCTGCGCCTTGGAACTTTAATTGAATACCCCTGACTTATATAATAAAGAAATGCTTTATTTGTATGGTTTTGTAATATCTGTGTCACATATTTCCTAGTGTGTCATGGTAGATCAACACTTATTATAGAATTTCATTACAGAAAAACAGTTTTGAACATGGTAATGGATTAAAACATAGCCTATAAATAACAGGCTGGATGTACAATAACCTTACATATTTTTTTTTACATAGCAGATTATAGAATATATAGCCTATAGCCTATAAAACAGCTTTGTAAATAGGAAGATTTCAATACATGTAAAATATTCATAATTAATTATAACTAGTTATGATTAATTATTCATATTTCCCATGAGCTGATTCGTTACGACATAAACAGCTGACAACTTTCAACAAATATCTGTGTTCTAAAAATGAACATAAGTTTGGAATGCTACATTGTTTTTAGATAATGCTTTTAAGTGGGCTAAAATATTAAAATAGTATAGATTTCAGGAGGAAAACCCTGAACAGAAGCATATTTTTTTTCTTTCACATGGCCTCACATGTATCTAAATGTAAAAATGCATTATTTTTTTTTACAAAGCAGATCATTGAATATAGCCTATCTCTATAGCCTATAAAACAGCTTTGTAAATAGGAAGATTTCAATACATGAGGATTTTGAATGAGATTTTTTTAGCAAGCCACTAAATGACTTGAGACTCGACTCGGACTCGTGGCCAAAGACTCGAGACTTGACTCAGACTCCAGCGATAAAGACTTCAAATTTGACTCGGACTCCAGGTTAAAGACTTCAGACTTGACTCGGACTCCAAGTTAAAGACTTGTGAACATCTCTGCCTTGCACTGCAACTTCTGTAATCTAGTCCCTGAATGGAAGTTGAATTGAACAGTACGCACAGCTGAACTTTGTGTTGAAACACCCTGTTAAAATGATGAGAATCATGTGTGTTTAATACTCACAGATATAGCGCTGACCCTGAGTGCATCCACTGTGGAGTGTGTGAACAGATACCAGAGTGCAGGTCCCACCTCTGCAGTGATGAATCCCTGGGCGTATTGAGACTCACGGCTGCACACGTTCTCTATGGTTTTGGCAGCCATGTGGTTCACCACCAACTCTTCCTGAGAAACAAGAAGAGAGAGAGAGAGAGACACTTTATTATAAAGTCAGTTTAGATAATGAATTAATAATACATCTGAACAATTCATTTAAATCTTTGTTAACAACTGTTCATTATTATTTCATGTTAACTCAGGACCATTAAATAATATTAACAGATACAACTTATGCAGAGGTGGACAGTAATGAAGTACATTTACTTGAGTACTGTACTTAAGTACACTTTTTGAGTATCTGTACTTTACTTGATTTTTTTTTTCTCTGCAAACTTGCTACTTCAACTTCACTACATTTGAAAGACAAATATCGTCCTTTTTAATCCGCTACATTGATATCAAGGTCCCCAAGTAGAAAATCCGGCCTGCGATCTACCAGGACCTTCCAGTGTTGCCAAGTCTTACAATATTTCTAAGCCTGCAGTTTTCCACCTAGCTTTGAATGGATGTTTGGTTGATTTTTTTAACGTAAATCTGGCAACCTCGAGTGCTTCTCCGCTAAACTAATGTAAACGTCTGCACTACTGCACAGCTAAAAGTGCTCTAAAAAGGCAAATAAGATATTAAAAGACGAAAAAGGCACATATGTATAGTGTGGTGTGATCATCTGTGTGTTCACCACATTGATTTTAAATAGACAATTGTATGTGATGCCTTACGTAGGCCAAGCGCTACGATCAAAGATCATAGAAGATAAATGATCGGCATACGGTACATAAAAATGATCTACACCTTGATCTACATGACAGAGAAAATGTATAGTTTTTATTCTGTGTGAACTCGCATGTGTATGTGTGAACTCATTAAATTAACCATGTTTTTACTATAGTAACTAGTTTAACTATGGTATTTGAGGTAAAATCACAGTATCCACAAATTTACTGTTCTCTCACTATAGTAACCATAATTATGCTTTGTGTAGTAAAACTACAATAACCACAAATTTAGCATAGTTTCATTATAGTAACTATAGTTTAATATCTGTAGTTAAACTACGGCAATACAAATGGTAGGCTAATATATCCGTCAAAAATGGCTGCTATTACCATGTATAAAAAACCTTACTACTCAGGCCTACTGGTAAATTGCTGCTAAAAACTGGTCAAGGAAGTACATAAATCTGAACATTATTTTATTGTCAAAACACTGCACATACATATATTTTTTTTTTTGCAAATAAATTATCAATAAGTAGGTTAAATGATCACAGGTCAAAATGTTTTACTTCACTTTTTTACAACTTTGGAATCCAAACTGGGAATCGATAAGAATTGAAATCAATAAGCAGAATCTGAATTGGAATAGATCAAATTAAAACAATACCAAACCCTAGCCATATGTTGTGACATTCACTGATTTATGAGCATTTTATGAACACTGATCAGTTGATGGCAAAATTCAAAAAGACGGTTCTTTGGCGCAACTTGCACACCCATGGCCATACTGAGAGAGTATGTTCCAGTATTCTGAAAAGTCTGAAAGACTAAAGATTAGTTTTCTTTTCAATGTTTGCTTTGTTTGCCTAAAATGAACCATATCATAGCCTTCGATATCTCTTTGAAAAATAACTTTGTAACTTTTAAACACTTCATTCAGTTGTTCCATTTCTATAGGTTTGGTCACATAAAAGCTCTTAAAGGGGTCATATGATGCGATTTCAATTTTTCCTTTCTCTTTGGAGTGTTTCAAGCTCTTTGTGCATAAAGAAGATCTGTAAAGCTGCAAAGACTAAAGTCTCAAATCCAAAGAGATATTCTTTATAAAAGTTAAGACTTGTCCACGCCCTCCTAAAAAGCCTTGTTTAAACACGCCCCCACGTCTACGTCACTGTGTGGGAAGATTTGCATAACACCGCCCAAATGTTCACGCAAAGAAAGAAGGCGTAACTTTTATTCTCGCTGTAGTATTGTTGTTGCTGCCGCCGCCATGTTATGGAGATGCTGTGTGTTTCGTTGTGAAAGCGAAACTACTTTGTTTGGTCTTCCAAAAGAGGACATCATCCGCTTCGTCATGCCTAGAGCTGATCCATGCTGGTCGCTGAGGAAATACATAAACTTTGCGCTGTGGATTGCCGGTTCGGCTTTCAACCTTGGATAAAGCGAAGTCCAGCCCGGGGTCGCCATATGTGGTCACTGCAAACCCGCTGGCCCGTTCTCAAGTCCGCCGGCCGTTCCTCACTCAAGCCCGTAGTGTGTGACGCTGTGTGACGCATTTCATGGAGGACTGTTTCCTGAACCTGCAGAATAGCCTACAATGGGTCTGTGCTCAAAGGCTGTTCTATAAAGTGGGGCAGTTCCAACTTTGCAAGGACAGTCTGGCACTTCTGACTCACAGCCTGTAAGTACATTTTATAAATGTAAAGAATTTGCCACTGATAATTAAAACGCGAGTTTTAAGCAGTGTAGAGTAGCTTTTGTTGTTTGTCGTTTCTCTGATCACAAATGCAGACATGGTTTTATGTTTACGCAGCGCGATATGCAACGCAACGCGTAAAAACACAGTATAAGTCATTATAATCAGTAATTATGTCCCCACTGGATGCAACAAATGCCTCGTTTGTAATAGGTTTTATTGGTTTTGTCTCGTCATGCTGGGAGACGGTGTCACAGTATAGTAAGGGGCGTAACATTTCCGTCCCACGCTTGAGGTATTCGGCCAATCACAACGCACTGGATATCTGGCCAATCAGCACACACCTCGCTTTTCAGAACGATGAGCTTTGTAAAAATGGATGCGTTTCAGAAAGACAGGGCATAGAGGAGAAACAATAATGTACATTATGTGGAAAATAATGTGTTTTTTTAACCTTAAACCGCATAAACACATTGCATTACACCAAATACACAAGATAATGTTCTTTTTAGCAATGTCATATGACCCCTTTAATTCCAAAGATAATACAAGCTAATCAGTGTATTCAGTAGGTTGCATTAGTGGCATAAGATATTGTAAGTATACAACAATGTGACAAAACAATGCATTTACTTTTTACTTTTAATACTCAAGTACTTTTAAAAGCATGTACTTTCGTACTTTTACTTAAGTAAAAACCTGTCTTTACAACGTTCACTTGTAGTGGAGTAGTATTTGACCAGTAGTATCTGTAATTTCACTCAAGTAATGCAGTTGTGTACTTTGTCCGCCTCTGAACTTATGATTATTTTTATGTTGAAATTAACATTCACTACACTGAAAACAAAATAGTGTGGGATTTAGTTTGAAACAATTAATTGAAATTGCTAATAAATACAAAATAATGGCAAGTAACATTGAATGAAACATGAAATTTAAAAGCAGAAAGACTGAAATGGTATTTTCTTGTAAAATACATCCAATAATCTAATAAACTTTATATAGTTGCTGCAAAATATAATAAACTTGCTCCACCTCAAAAACAAATTTTGGTTGATGTTACCAGGACCTCTTAGTTTTCAACTATTTCCCTGTATCCACCTCCACCATTCTATTATGTAACACCCACTTTTCAAGATCCAAACAATTCCCCATGGCTAAAATTAAGCCCCATAAACATCAGATTACATAAGTAAAGTATATTGGGTTACTAAGAGCATTTCATGCAGACTTTAAACGGAATTGTACTCTGAAAAACGTTAAGCATTACACTCAAAGACATGCGTTCATGAATTAATTTGTAAGTAGGACACACAGACCTTTACGAATTTCACGCAATTACATCATGACCTAATAGTCCCTCAACACCCTCCAAACTTGAGTGAAATAATTTCCTTAAATTTCACACCACAGCGAATCTCGCTCTGAGATAACGAACGCTGGCTGTGTTTTTATGTATTCGGACCCCTGTCCTTGAGCGTGTTTCACTGCAATCGTATCTGGTGGAAATTAAACATTTAACAGCATTCAACAAACGGCAAGCGTGCAGAGTCGAGTGAGGAAAATAGCAAATGGAGAGGTTGGGCATATCTTAGAGGCGCAGTTACACTGTGCACTGCTGCTATGCAATATGGATGCCTTCACTGTAATGTAGTTCCTAGACCCCCGTCTCAAAGTTAAAAGAAAGTTCAGCTTAGTCCATGGAAGAGGTGCATTAATACACATACTGTATCTTGGAGGCAAAAAGTAGAAAGAACTCTCAAGTAGAATATTCTGACGCAACACAAATAACAGCAGCTACTCCAGAGTCCCTGGGCCTATCGTATCTCTTTGTGCTGGAGTCTGATGGTCTGGCTTCGTGGAGGCTTTAGGTAATGAACTAGAGCTGGCACTCGCTAGAGCAGGGGAAATGACTGACAGCTGCTACAGGGCGCAAGAGGTGGGGAGGAGGGGGGTGCTGAGCACTTTCTTTTTTCTTGTAGCACAAGTCAAAAAGGCATAGAAAATGAAACTAAAATCCACCAGCCAGAGGTTTCTCAATAAGAATTTAAATTCCACAGGACAAGTACGCTCCGTTGTAGGCGAGTTTGTGCTTTTTCAAATGTACACAGCTAGTCTATTTCCACTGAGGTCTGAGTAAGATGCTTTAGGTTCATCTGACTGCGGTCGAGGGGAGAGTGTTTTGTAGACTGCCCTGACTAGACTGACTACAAATTACCCACAACTAAATAGAGTACATTTCTCATCTGTTTCTCATCCATTTTCAAATAAACAACTCCGGTTTCAATTGTAGTTTCGAGTTCAAATTCTCGCATGTGTTTTCATGACAGAAAGTGATTTGGGGACCATGTAAAGTCATTGGGTGACAGTTGCTGTCAGCTCGTGTACTGTGTGACCCCCTGTTGTGGATCATTTACTTGGTGTTATGTAGTGTGAACACCACAACGACTTCAAGACAGACAGCAAGTCATGTAGTCTGAACAGCACAGCGATCTGCCGACATTTAAAGTCGTGTAGTGTGAACTTGGCTTGACCAGCCAAGGCTCCAGACTGGGGAGTCATTACTTATGTTTCCATTCACCTATTTTTATGCAAATTTTGGGATATCGCTAAAAAAATGCTGGATGGAAATGCCAAGATGCATACAAATTCTAAAATGTATAAAATTGAATCAGATCATTTATTCATCCAATAAGAAGAGATGTGAATATGATGGAAGCACAGCATAAAGGTAAGTTTGTCTGAATTAATGAATAAACTGCTCATTTTAAAATCTTCCTGGTCTAATGACATTTGTTATGATTTCAGCTTCGAACATTACAACGCACATGATAACTTTCGTTAACTGAAGTAAATCCAATTCACCAGCTAATTACTCAACAGTGATGCTATAGAGCCACCGTAAAAAGCAAAATTCAAATACTAAACTCTAAAGATGGCTCTACACCTGTTTCTCTGATGCATAAGGTCTATAATCACCTCCCATAACTGTCTCATATGATTGTGTTCCCAAAAATCAGGCATCCTAACACAAGATAACATGACAGCGCTTACTATTGCATTTTGTCTGCGCGCTCTTCTTTTATTATAGAGGAGAAAAGAGCCACATCAGGCTTCCCTGGTTGCAGCAACTTCTATTTTTATTGTTATTACTTTGCGCTAGTTTCCCAGGAAGTTAAATTTTTATTTATCTTTATAAATTGAAGAATCACTCAATAACAACTGATTAATGTACAGGCATTTTACCACATAGAGTATGACTCTGATGATTTAAGTTATGTAAACTAGGATGTTTTCTTGTTGCACTTGTTGCTCCGACCTAAAGCATACAGTACCATCAAATTAACGATTCCCGATTCATTTAGAATTCGACATAACTGAAAATGAATCACAGTACAGTCAAGAAGTCAAGTAGGATAATGTACATACGTGCTTTGATCCACTAAAAATTCAGTTTGCATTCATTTATTTACATAAATACTAGGGCATTTTGTCCATATAGCCACTTTATAGCAAAGTGTGAGTGCATATAAATACACACTAGGGGTTGAATGACTTCTGATTTTTTAAAGTCGACTTTTATGTGATGAAAGTCGAGTCGAAGTCGACTAGTCGCTGATGACGTCATTAATGAACAAATAAGTCTGGAGCTGTGACAAACACCTTGTGCAGCTATGGCATATGACACAGCGCTACCCACATGGCTATTGCTCCTATAACAGCTCATTTGTATCAGGGTCGTTATATTTCTCACATATTTCTGCTCGTTCTAAAT